AGCTACTAAATGATTATCCTGATAATCCTTGACAATCCCACATGGTTTCAGAATAGAATCCAAATTAAATAAAGAAATATATAAAATAATAATAAAAGAAAATATAGAAAGAAATCAAAAACAAAAAGCAGGAGAGGTCCTTGTAAACCATTACAAAATGCTTAATATGAAAATGGGTTAATAGATTAACTATTATATTATTTTTAAAGTGGGTTCCTCGATCAGACAGAATTATATGAAGACAACTACTATGTCAACAAATAATATCTTCAAATATAAACTCAGTAACTTTGTTTATAGTTGCTTCACTAAGGATATGAGCTTCTAGCATTTTTGTTATATAGTCAGTAGTAATAATGATATAACGTTTATCTCTTGGAGTTTGGGGTAAGGGTCTAATGATATCAAATTCTATTTGATAGAAAGAATTTTCTATTGGGATAGGTTGTAGTAATTGTGTTTTCTTTTGTTTTCCTCTTTTTTGATATGCATCACAGGATTATATATAGTATTTTCTCAAAGACTGTATTGATACTTAAGTGTCCTCCTAAGGAGTGATTGTACATCATGAAGATAACAGGTTTTACTTCATAGGGTTTTAATACTTTCAATAGTTTGTTGTGGGTTTTGTGTCTACGATCCTTTTTGTATAGTATATTGTTTTGTGTTTGATAAAATCTGCTTTTTAATTCTAATCTTCATTTTAGTTTTATTATCGATTGTAGGTAAGTGTTGTTGGGATAAGTATTTTAAAAGGTATTGGTATTCTTGGAAATTCATGTTTAAATAAAGTAAAAGTGTTTAAATAATTAAAGGGTTTAAAAATTTGAATGCCAGGACACCAACAACCTAAACTGGATCATAATTTAACTTGGTCAGATTATTATTATATTGTTTCAATAGATTGTAATAGTTTGATTATTAAATTTCATACATTTGGAATAAGGAGTTAACATTATTGTGTTTTTTTCCTGGTCTGTGTAAAATAATAAAGTTATAAGGTTCTAATTTAAGAATTTAGCGAGTATGCTTTCCTCTTAATTTTGTGATCCTTAACCATTGTAAAGCAGAATGGTCAGTGACAATATAGAAATGTGTGGTTTCAAAATATTGACGAAAGTGTTCAACAGCTCACACTATGGTTAAACATTCTAATTCATTTGTAGAATAATTTTGTTCAGCTTAATTTAAGCATCTGCTTGCATAAGCAATGGCATATTCGTTTTTGTCTTCTTTTTATATGAGTAATGTACCTAATCCTAATTCAGATGTATCAGTATGCAAGTAAAAAGGTTGGTTAAAATCAGGGTGTCTTAAGATTGATGCAGAAATTAATTTTTCCTTTAGAGTTTTAAAAGACTGTTGTTGTGCTTTAGTCCATTCGAATTTGGTATCTTTTTGTAATAATTTGTTAAGTGATTTAGCAATTTTGAAAAAGTTTTCAATAAATTTGCAACAGTAAGAGGCTAATCCCAAAAATCCTCTTAATTGACATAAGTCATTTGGTCTATTAAAGTTTTTAACTTTAATAATCTTGTCTTCATCAGGTAAGATTTTTTGTCAGAAATAACATGACCTAAGAATTTAGTTTCTGATAAGAAGAATTAACATTTATCTAAGTTAATTTTTAAATTTGCTTTTTGTAAGGTATTAAAAATAGTTGTAAGGTGTTTTAAATGATTTTCAAAGGTGTTAGAGTATACTTGTACGCAAAATTATTTTGGGGCCTCAAAATTGTAATTTTGGAGAAAAAAGTCAAAATAGTTTTTCATAAAAGACGAAATTATTTTACTTAAAACCTGAAATTTTTTGACCATTCAGATTTATTCTTTTATTAAAGATACATATAACTAAGTACTTTTTTTACTTCCATATATAGAATAGATTTTGCATAAATCTCAAGAAGTCGAAATACCTCAAAAATCCAAAATCAATTTTGGGAACATGTATATGTTAAAGTATATGGTCAAATCATCTAAGTAGACTACTACAATTTTTCCAATGTAGAGTTGTAAGATTTTATCCATTAATCTTTGAAAGGTAGCAGGGGCATTGTATAAGCCAAAGGGCATTACATTGAATTCATAAGTTCCTATCTGTGTAATAAAAGCAGTTTTCTTTTTATCCTCCTCTTTTACTATGACTTGTCAATAACTACTGGCCAAGTCTAAACTTGTAAACCATTTGGCATTCTTAAAGAAGTCAAGAATGTCGTCAATAATTGATAAGGGATATATATCTTTTTCAGTTTCTTTATTTAATTTACAATAATCAACACATAAGCATCATTTTTCATTTTTCTTTGGTACAATCACTACAGGCGAGGACCAGGGACTTTGTGATTCTCGTACAATTTCTTTATTCAACATTGCAGTAATTTCCTGTTGCAGAAATTCCCTTTCGCTAGGTGCAACTTGATAGGTCCTTTGCTTGATAGGACTAGTGTCACCGGTCTTAATTTCATATATCACTTCAGTAGTTTGTCCTAATTCCAATGTCTGTCCTTCTTCCGAAATATTCTCAGCAAATATATTGGCATATTCTGCAAATATTTTGTCAACTTGTTGTCTCTGAATTTCATTGAGCAAAGGTTGATCGATTTTGATTTCCTTGTGAGGATATTCGGTCAAATATAAGGCAAGATTAATATTTTCTTCTTCTTGAAGCTTATTGTAATCTTCAAGAATATCATCAATAGTTCTTTCTTCAGAATAGTAATTTTCATATTCTTCTAACTTATCTTCTAACTCATATTTGAGTTCTTGTTGTATTTGATTATCATCTATTTCTTCTTCTTCTTCATAAATGATGTAAGGGCTGAAAGTGACAGTGTGGATTGTGTCAACAGTTACTGTTTTGTGATTATAACAGACTATTAATATTCTGTTGGCAAAATCCCATTGTGCTTTAGTTTTGTCAAACCAATTATTCCTAATAATAAATTATCCTCAGTAGTATTAATTACTTGTAACTTCATAGGTATCTGTAAGTCCTGTATACTAATGTTTACATGATTAATCTGACTAAGGGCTCATTCTCGGATATCATTAGTTGTGATCACTACTACTTTGGAAGGAACATTGATAGGGATTCCTAATTTCCTTCTTAATTTATCAGTTATGATACTAACTGCAGCTCCTGAATTCAGGACAACTTTAATTGTATTTCCTTTAATTTGGACGTAACACTTTGCAGCAGTTGTTCACTTTTTTTCAGTTGCGACATGATTAGTTTCTTTCACAATAGGTCTTTTCAAAATTTTGAAAAAGTTTTTTTTTTTGATCTGGGTAATGTAACATTTATCCAATAGTTGCACTAGCTTGTATATTTAAAATATTTTTAGAAATGTCATAATGTTATAGAATATTAATTTTATTTATTTTTATTATATTATTATTTAATGTATTTATTATTTATTTGTAATTTATGTTAATCAAAGATCATGTAACAGGTGGCTCACCAGGTTGATTACCAGGTGAATCACCTAGGTAAATTACCTGTTGCACATAACAGGTGGATCACCAGGTTAATTACCTCTTGCTAAAATTGGTAAATCATTAATTTGGTAGATCGTTGCGTGCAGCAAATCAAAGGAATATAAATACGAGTCTTCCCTGACCTGGGAAGAGGGAGTCCAAGAAGTTTTATAGTCCTCAATAGTTTAAGAGACTAGAACAGAGTTGTATCTCCTAGTTAATATATTATTTAATCCTTTAATATTTATCTTTACTTTTATAATTTTCATTTCATATTATATTTTATTTTTATATTTATTATTATATTTATTAATAAAGTTATATCGCATTAAATATCCCTATTAAATCTTTAATTTGTTAAATTGTCACGTAATTCTTAATAAAATCTGAGTTAATCTTGTATAAATACTCTTTAGCATATATATTTTATTAAGCGGACAAGTTGATTTGATGTGCTAAAACCCCGTACAATAAAAAACTCACCTTGTAATATTCATTCGAATTCACTATTAAATAATTGAATTGAGTTGATCTTAGTAATCCTCAAGAAATTCTGAGAATTATTTAAGTAGTTTAAGTTAGTTTAGTTTAAGAATATTAGTTATCCTTCAGATCCTTGTTCACATATTGGTATGACAATATAATTAGAAATAATATAATTAGAATATATAATTAGAAATAATATAATTAGAATATATAATTAGAAATATATAATTAGAATATAATAGAATCAGAATATATAATTAAAAATAATAATATATAAATAAAAAAATATACATACTTATACTCATAGGTGCACCCACATGAATAACTACATATATATTTTTTAAATTGATTCCCATTCCAAAGGCAGATGTCATAACCATTATCTGAATATTACTGGTTTTCCATTTATTTATTATTGTTTCTCTCTCATCATCACGTAAACTATTATGAAAATAACTTATTGAAATATTAGATAAATTTTCTTGTAATTTATTATATAAAAATTTACAGTTTGTATATATTGAACAATATATAATAATACGACCTTGTAAATTTTTATTTATTATATCTATGATATCTGAAATATACTGATCACAAATTTCTTTTTATTTTTTTACATTGAAAATAATTTCTGGTCTATAATTTATAGAACTACGAACTAAAGTAAAATTATTTTTATTAATAGTTAAATTTTTACAAATTTCATTTACTTCAGATCATGTGCATGTTACTGTAAGTAACATAATCAGTGCTGATTCCCAATGTTGTTTTAATATTCTAAGTTGTCCCCAAGCTTTTCTATTAATATATAAAAAAAATTAATTCATAAAATATTTATTATTATATTTATTATAAAGTATTTACCTAAAATTTTGATAAGATATAACACAGTGTACTTCATCAATTACAAAGTGAACCTTTTTTTGATTGTAAAGTCACGTAATAAATCTACAAAATTCTTCATTTGATACAAGTTTTTCAGGTGTTACAAATAATACTTTTATCAATTCACATGCTATTTCTTCGAAAATTTTTTCTTGCGCGCTGGTACCTTGTGCTAAATTAGTATACAAAATGACACATGGAATATCTGTTTTTATTAATTCTCTCTAAATAAAAAAAAAATTAGAAATAATATAATAATAAAAATATAAATGAATTTTAAAATAAATCTTACTTTTTGATTTTCTATGAGTACTTTGAGAGGACTAAAAACAATAGTCAATCCTTCAAAACAAATAGCTGACAAAATATAGCACAAAGTTTTTCCTTCACCAGTTTTCATTGATACAAATATATCATTTCCATTCAAATATGTGATAATAGATTCTTTTTGTTCATCTCAAAATTCTTCAAACCCAAATATTTTAGAAACAGCAAGTAAAACAAGTGTTTCTTTTTCAAGATCTGACTGTTGCTCTTTAGATACATATTGTTTATTAATAATTTGTTTTCACAAACTTGCATCTATATAAAATGAACAAACTCCACATAACCCATGAGAACTTTTTTTTGCAAATGCATGACATATAATGCATTTTACAATAATATCGAAATCTATTAAAAGATTACCAAATGATGGTCAAAAGATATTTTCATGAATTTAATCAATCGTTTTGCTTTTATAAGATACTAATTCCTATAATAAAAAATATAATGTAAATTAAAATATAAAAAATAAAAATAAAAAATTCTAAAAATTATAAATTTACCTTATCAAAATTAAAACTAACAAGTTCTTTTTTTTCATTTGCAAATTTTATTTTTCTTGCTTCATTTCATTGTAAAATTGCATTTCGATTTTTAATAACTTGTTGAGATCTTTCTTGAACAAATTTTTAGTATATTATTTATATCAATATAGGAAAATTCTGTTCCTACTGCTACCATATAAACTTTAGATATCATTGTATCTAATCCATTATTTTGATCAATTATTATTAATGCATGTCGTACACAATATGAAGCCCAATAATCAATTCTTTTATCTAAATATTTTAGAATTTTTCTATTGAACACCTCATTATAGGATGTACGAAATGTTGTCACAAGCCCTTGACCAAATATATACGAAAAATTGTAGTTAAAACATTTTTAAAATTATTTATTTCAATTTGTGTATAGTTTTTTAAAGTTAGTTCTTGTAATTGTAATTTTGAATTGTCTTTTATCTAACATACATCACTCCAACATAAATTATGATTACTGAGTAAATGCTGAATTAAACCTTCTACTTGTATATATCATGTTTCTTCTTTACTTGGTGCATTATTTTGATTATTTTTTTTTTGAATTCTAGTAACAAATATATATGAATTGAAATAACGCATAATGTGTTGTTCAAAAGAATGCTATCGTGAATATTTTTTTTTTACTATAAATAAAAATATATACAATATTAATTTTTAGAACTTTATTTTTTTATTAAAAAATAAAAACATATACAAATATAATATTTACATAAATTTTTTCGAATATTTTTACTAACATGTTTTAGATCCACAAATATAAGACTTACTACAGAAATATATGTCAAGGTTCTATTGGTTTCAAGGTCACCATCAATACAAATATGTAAGGTAAAATCAGTTTCCTCTAATATAGGCATTATATTATTTAATAATTCAAATAAAATTGCATGTTCCATTTGTTTTGAGGTTCCACTAAAATTTTCATTATGTAATATTATTGAAGAATCACTATTTATAAGTTTTGATGAACGAGAATGCTCCACTATATGAAATCCAATTACAGGTTGATAATTATATTCTAATAATAAATAACTTTATTATTATTTTTATATCCTAATAATAAATAACTTTATTATTATTTTTATAAACTAATAATAAAAAATTATTATTTTCATATCAGAAAGATCTCTTAAATATATAAATTCTTCACTAGCTTGATGAGCATTACGTGAATGAGACCATGAACAGTCAAAGTTTATAAGTAATATTTTTTCTTTATCCGGTAAATTAATTATTTTTAATTGATCAAGAATTTCTAATAAAATTATTTCACAACTAAGTTTTGCATCATCTATTATAGATTTATATAAGCGAGTTTGATAATTGTAATAAGATGGTTTGCTACATTGATTTGTAATATCTATTGTAGTTAATGCAGTTTGAAATGAATTTCTATTTATACCTCCAGCAAGTGCAGCTCCTGAAACTAAATATGAAAAGTTTACTTTCAAATCTTCATTTGAATATTGTGTTGATGTTTTGCAATGAAAACATTTAATAAAATAAGTAATACTAAATCCCATTACTTTAATATAAAACTTTTAATTTGATACTTTTAAATCTGAACAGTTAGGACATGGCAATGAAAAAAGAATAGAAAGGTAATGTTTTGTACTTATAAAAATAGTTGATCTAAGTTTATTTTCTTCAATTTTTTTTTCTACTAATTTTTGAATTTCAAGATTATTTTGTGTAATTATTTCAATATTTTTTTTTCAGCTAAAGTAACTTTTTTTTGAAGAGTTTTAATAGTCTTATTTTTAGAATAAATTGTTTATTTGTATTCTATATTTTTTAACATTAAACCTTGCGTTTCTTTTGGTGATAATACTTTTCTATTAGATTTAACATTAATTCCATAAATAATATTATTGTTAGTTCTATTATTATTTTCATTAATTATTGAATCAATTTTTTTTGTTTCTCGTTTTATACTACGACATAATGTCTTTTCTTTTTTTTGCATTTGTTAATTTTGAATTTTCAAATAAAAAATTTTGATTTTGAAAAATAAATGGAAATTTATTGAAACAAGTTGTTGTAAATTTTTAATTATTTCAGGAATATTAAGACCAAGAATTGAAAGTATAAAATTGTTAGAATCAAGTCCATATTTTTTTAACATGTAATGAAATGTCATTCGTTCAGAACTTTATGTTTTTTTTTAATATAGAATACATCACAACCATATTCTTCTCAAAAAAATAATAATTGATTATTATTTTCTAAAATTAATAATTTAAATTTTTTATTATCCGCAGATGTATAAACAGTATATTCAGGTAATAATAGTATTAATGAACATTCTGTTTCTTTATTACGTTGAAAAAAATAACCTACATTATAATTCTTTTCTTCTTAATTTTTATATCTTTAAAAATATCAGTTATAAAATTATATACTTTTGTTTCAGCATATAAATCCAAAACATGAAGACCAGTGGAATAATCAGTTACTATTCAACTACTATTTGATCATTTATAAGCTTTTCTATTAGTAGGATCTTACATTACAAGTGCTATATACCATTTAGAAGCCATTTTTTATAAAAATTAATTTTATTTCCATAATTATGTTAGATATTATATAAAAACTTGTGGTCAAATTTTATTTCTAAACTATTTTCATACTTCTTTAAAACTTTACTTATTATAATTTTCTTCATGTGAAAGAATTGGATTCATGCGAAAAGTGTCTGAGTAGTTTTTTAAAAGTTTAATAAAGAAAAAACTAAATAATATATATTTCGTTTGTTATTATTAGAAACTAGAAGTTCTGAAAAATGAAATATTATAAAATAAAATATATTTCGAAGTTATGGAGCAAAGTAACCTTGTGTGAAAATCACAAAACCTTAATTAAATTTTTTAGTCAATTATTTATTAATAGATGATGACGTAATTGACTCTACCCTTAATAAAAATAAAGATAAAAGCAGAAGTAATAATATTATAAAATAGTAATATATAATGTTATATAAATACCATTCATAAAACATAATACAAATAGAGTATTCATATAGTGTTCTAAAACATTACATTTTAGTACATTGGTGTCATTCTAGAACGTTATTCGAATATTTCATTCATATAATGTTATAGAACGTTATATAAAAATTTCTGATGTTTTATATAGCATATATAATATATTTCATTTTATATTTTTTATAATAAATGTATTTCATTTTATTATCTTTTTTTATAATAAATTAAAATTATGATTATTTGCAAATAAAAAAAAATGAAAATATATATATATAAATAAAAGGTATCGATAAATATCCGATAGAGAGAAAAAAACTATCTGATACATAGAGATATACTATAGTTAATTTATAAAAGATATGTACCTAATAAAAAAAATAAATAAAATCAAATGTCAAAATATTAATGTCAAATATAAAACTGATATGGACCTAATAAGTACCTGAACTTCTACATTTTGACCTTACCAATTGGGTATCTGATATATTACATAATTGTTAATATCAGATACCTATTGTATACCTATCAAATTCTTGATAAGTATACAATAGGTATCTGATATTTTCTATTTCAACTAGTGTAATTTAAAAGAAATATATAAAATATAAATAAAATATGCATAAAGTAAAAAAAAACTCATTTTTTAAATTTTTGTAAATTTTTTACCTAATTACAAAAGGTAAATATCAAGTGTTACCAAAGTAAAGTTTGTCAAAAAAAAAAAATAAAAAAACATTTACATTATAAAATTAAAAACTATTAGATTTATTATTGTTATTTGTTATTTTTTTAACAAATGTAATAGGAAGTATTTGTAATATTACTTATAGTCAAAAATGAATCAATTTTTTTTAATATATAATCTGTATCATTTTGTATTACTAAAATTTCTATAGTTGAATGGTAGATTATTAATTAATTTTATTAATATCATCAGGAAATTTTTAAAGGCAAAATATTTCAAAAATTTTTGCCTCGTTAAATTTTCGGAGTTATACGACACCTTCGTAAATTTTCAAAAAAATTTTCAAAAATTTTCGAATCGTAAATCTCCGGAATTTTTTGTTTTATTTATTTTCAAAAATTTTTGCATATATTTTTGTAAATCTCCGTTTATTTTCGAAAATTTTTGCATATATTTTCGTAAATCTCTGTTTATTTTCGTAGATATTCGCGAA